CTACGCTATTTCTCTACGTCCTAATCTTCAGATTTCAAATACCCTCCTTCTTATATCAGTTCCACCATAGTGAAAACAAATACAGATGCCAGGTCTGTGTTGGCAAATCTCTGAGGTGGCACCAGGATGAGCTGCCGTGCCACGACAAAGTTTCCAAATTCCACAGCATCAGCCCCAAATGCAATTCACTCCTGTTATGTAGGTAGGTTCTAAGCTCTACCAAATAACCTAACCCTGAGTACTGAGCTAACACATCATACATTGTGCTGTTTGAACCAAATAGTTTGTATATTCACTGTGTAATCCGTAGCTGGCAAATGAGCTAAAGATGATCTGGGAACAACCACACCCCAGCAACATCTATAGCTTTTGAAGCTTCGTGCTCAATCATGGAAGCTTAGAGTGGAAATTTAGAAAAGAAAAAAATAAGTAAATCCAATAAATCTTGCAACTGCAATACTGATAGCAAACAGTGGGAGCAGATTGCACATGCTTCACTACAGAAACTTATATATTAACTCACCTGATGATTTCTTGGGAACACCCAGCTGCATATTCCTCTTTGGCCACAAACAGATGCATGAACAGAGTGTTCAAAGGCTACAATATGAAGAATGAGAACCTAAACACCATGCATTTCATATTTATCGTCTACCCAGGTGTTAATATGTACATTTCCAATATCTCTGACCTGCCCTCAAAGTGCACGTATGAGTAATTCATTGCCTTCAAAGCATACGCTCCACAAATAAAGGATGGTTTTAATATTATGATTTTTGCTTATGCAAAATGTTAGAATCTGATTCATGCTCAAGCTTACTGTTAGAATATACAGTATGTTAGAATGTATTTTAGATAAAAAATTATAACTTTTTTGTTGTGTCAACTAATAACATTTTACATGAACCACAACAATCAACAACTCAATCTGAGTGTTTATTTAATAAAGACATTCTTTTGTTTCCTGCCAGGTTTAAAGAAAGAAAAGAAAGACCTCACAACTAAAACTGTTTTTCCCTTAAAGGATAGGGGAGAATTACAAAGTCTCTGCAGTGCACTGTTAGACACATTTGAATATCCAGGCAGAAACGGAACTGACTAAAAGATGCCTTTTTCCTATTTGCCAGTTTGCCTGCAAAACACATTGGAGAAAAGGAATCTCATCAGAACACGTACAATTGTTTTGCCAGTGCTGAAGCACAAAATATCCACTGAATCTTCTGCATAGATTTTAGAAAATCTGTATTCTAGAAAAACAAGGGTTGTTCTGCTCCTCATCAGTATTCTGAAGCATCTTCCACTTCTGTTTATAAGCAGTAACTGCTAACATGCCAAAGCTTTTTTTGGTTTGTTCCTTTTCTCATTGTACACCTCTGCATTCTGAAGTCAGCTGCAGTTTTCCTACAAGAGATATTATCAAGTAGGCAGCCCGAGGAAGGGCGAGCAGAGCCAGCAGCGCAGTGTAACACAACAGGGGCAGCTGTGCAGTGAATGAAGTGGTTGTGTCTGCAAAGAACAGTACACAAAGTACTGTTCAAATGACAAAGAAAACGGATTACAAGAAAATTGTGTGGGTTTTTTTTCCTTTGCTCCTATATAAGATGTAATAATTGTTTCTTTTAACAGCAAATGCAGCAGTTTTAAATATAATCACTGTATTTGTCAGTTTTTCTGCAAGCCATTGCTTAATAATGCCCAGAACAACACTGGAAAACTGATGAACTGTCTGGAGATGATTTCAGCACTGGCAATACTGGCTGCTAGCTTTTGAATGTTCAGAGTCAACATTTTCTACCATTTCTCAGCAATCACAGGGTGATCCAGTTCCTAGATGGACTGAAGGATGGACAGCATTCAAATGCAGAACCTCTAAGCACCTATTTCTAGTTGTACTAAAGGGTAATTCACAAACTTGACTGAGGAGCCTGTGTGAAAACAGGCACCATATAGAACAGAGTGCAGCCATCTCCACACCAACACTAAACAAGGTCACTCCACAATCAAGTCTCTTGTGTCAGCACAGTCCTGGACTCAGTGTGATTAACCATCCTTCAAAGGGCAATGTGCTCCCCATCCCTTAAATTTGGATTCCATCTTGTAAAACAGCAAAACTTGATTCCAAAAGGTATGAAAAAGAGAACTTCAGTTCAGGAAGGGGACATCACAGACATCACAGCAAGGCCTCCTGCATAAAAGCTCTGCTAGACAGCACCAGAGCTGGGTAGGTTTTTGAATGAAAAATGATAACAACAGCAATAGCTCAAGCTGCTCCCATTGACTGTGCAATGCATTAGAGATGTTTTGCTCTTATCTGGCAAAGAACTTGCATTCCCTCTGCCAGGATGACAGTTATCTTATGTCACTATAATGGCATAAGCACAGGTACTCGTGAACTTCTTGATGGTTTACTAAGGAACCTGACCATCACCTTCCTCAGCTTGAATCATCAGCTCCACCAGAAAAAGATTTTAGATGCCTATGCATATTTCTTATAGATGAACTTTATCTGGGGAAAAAAAAAAAAATCAACTAAAATAATACAATTTACTTACAGTGCATTTGTTGTTAACATAGTTTTTATTTAAGAATGATTCCCAGTCGGACTGATCAGTGATATTCCAATTTGGATAGTCAAGAAAGATGGCGTGGGCTATAGCCTCATTCTTCTCATTGCAGAGTGTCAGGGCAAAAGTTGATTTTTCTCTGTAAAAACAATTTCATTTTGCAGAATTTGAAGAAAGCGCATGGGAGATTTACACTTAACCATCAGGTTTTGTAGATTTAACTATTCAGCAAAAGTGAGAGGGTTTTTTGTTTGTTGTGTTTTTCATACGTGTGTATGTGAACAACTTCTTCAAAGACAAGCCTCTTGCATGTCTCAGCTCTTGAAATATACATGCAATTAACAAAATTCTTCAGTATTTCTACAGTGTTTACAAATGTTTGTGGTTTGTGCCTTCACATCACTGGCATTTTTGCAGAGGAAGGGACCTCTTTATAAAGTAAGTTTTGTACTATTTTCTCCTTCTCTTCAAATTTTCATCCCCTTCCCTCCCTAATAAATTATTGTTTGGAAATGGAAAAAGGAAAAATCACTAGAAATACTACTGAAGAGCTTCAGTCATCTTTCTTTCTCTCTGTTTTCAAGTTTCCCAGACTCAAACTCTACATGTGTATGTACTCACCTATGATGAGTAACACTACTGTTTATAACTCAGCTTGTTATAATGTCGCCATGCTTAAAAGTGCTGCAAGGGTCAGGCTCAATCAAACTTTATTACCCACATCCTACCTTGGACATTACTGTTTCAATTTCAAACAGTTATTTGATTCTGTTACTATAATAGCTCTCATGATTTTTCAAATCCTGCATTTAATGGCTGTTTACAAAGGTGGATGGTGATAGGACAAGGAGGAATGGTTTTAACCTGAGACAGGGGAGGTTTAGGTTAGATATGAGGAGGAAGTTTTTCACACAGAGGGTGGTGAGGCACTGGCACAGGTTGCCCAAGGAGGCTGTGGATGCCCCATCCCTGCAGGCATTCAAGGCCAGGCTGGATGTGGCTCTGGGCAGCCTGGGCTGCTGGTTGGGGACCTGCACACAGCAGGGGGTTGGAGCTGGATGAGCATTGTGGGCCTTTGCAACCCAGGCCATTCTATGATTTATTCTATGATTCTATGAACTACTACATATTTAGCAGCTAAGTGTTTTGTCTTCTTCATATTTTTCTTCATATATCTGGTTTTCCTCAGATAGTTGGTATCTGAGGTATTTGGACAAGTGGAAAAAGCCTACATGGCCTAGTGGTATTTCACACAGTTTGTCTCTATCTGTCATTCATCACATCATAGAAAGCTTAAATGATCAACACTTTCTGTGTTAACTCCAGTAACAGAGGACTTCTGCCACCAGCCACTTCTCTGAAGGTTTTGCCATGGAAGCAGCAGGAAAGAGATGCACAATATCCTCCATCCATGTGATGGCAGCTGGCGGGCAGGAAAGGTTCCCTTTCAGTAGTGAAAAAAAGACAAAGATTTAGATATACACAAGAAAAGAAAAGAGAAAAACTGTGATCAAAAAGTGATTAAAACCCCTAATCCATGTCCTCTGTTCTACCACTCTGCAGTGGACAAAAAGGAATCCATTAGATGGAGCCAGGTGCTGACAGCTGCTGCTGGATCCTCCTGGTTTCACCTGATAGTAGCCAAGAATATTTCATCCTAACTTTAATAAAGAGGAAGTTGTGAGAAGCCAAATCCTCTCCACTGTACTGACTGCGGGGATTCAAGCTTGCACAAAGTCTTGCACGTGTGAAGCAGAAAAGAGGTGAAAGCAGATTTCCTTTCCCTTTTTGTGAAGGGCATCAGCAGTCATTACGCCACACCACATCAAAGCTCAAAGAGCTTTCTGGCATATTGAATAGAACGGAATTCCTTCAAGTTTCCTGTGAGAACAGCAAGACAAGCCCCAAAAGCACAGGTACTTACAAAAGGTACGCCACATCAATCCTTCCAAAAATGTCTTCTGTGAAACGGGTGAAGAGGCTGGCAAAAGCAGAAGCATCGTGTGCCTCTGTCCTTCTGGGACGGACCACTTCTGTACGTCCTCTCAAAGAGGTTATCGTCGTCATCTCGGCAACTGCAACAAAAAGAAGGAAAACACTGCTGGTTCTGGCAGACCCTGCCGCAATCACACAGTGCCACAATCGTTAAGGCGGGAAAAGACCGCTAAGATCAGCCGGTCCAACCGCCAGCCCAGCCGCACCGCTCCATCCGTGTCCTCCGAGCCGCAAGGGGGCGCCATTCGCGGACTAAGCCGGAGGGGAAAGAGGAGCCTGAGGGTCTGCAGGCCGCGCCCGGCACTCACCGTTCCGTTACCCGGCAACGCGGAGCGGCGACAGACGGCGCTCAGCTGCGCTCGGCCCCGCTCGGCCCCGCTCGGCACCGCCGCTACCGGGACGCGCTGCCGTTACTACGGCAACCGCGCGCGCCGGCGCTACGTGAGGTCACAGGTCGCTGGGCGGAGCCGGAGCGGAGAGACGACAAGATGGCGTCTACGGCGGCTGGCAAGCAGCGCATCCCCAAAGTGGCCAAGGTGGGCGGCGGTGGCGGTTGTGGCCGCTGTGTGGGTGCTGCGGGGTTGTGTGAGGGCGAGGCGGGGTGTGTGGCTGGAGCGGGTGTCTGCCCTGGGCCCTGCGCTTCGCTGGGTCTTGGAGCGGCCTGGTGGGGCGGCTCTCAGTGAGGGGTCTGGAGCACAAGTGTGATGGGGAGCGGCTGAGGGAACCGGGGCTGTTCGGTCTGCAGAAGAGGAGGCTCAGGGCAGACCTCGTGGAGCTGCAACCACCTGAAAGGAGGCTGTGTGAGGCGGGGTCGGCCTCTGCTGGCAGGGAACGGCCATAGGACGAGAGGGGATGGCCTCACGTTGTGCCAGGGGAGGTTCGGGTTGGCTGCTAGGAACAATTCCTTCTCCAGAAGTGATTCTGCACTGACACAGCTGCCCAGGGAGCGGTGGGGTCACCTGGAGGAGTCCCAGAGCCGTGGGATGTGGCACTGAGGGACGTGGGCAGTGGGAACAGTGGGGATGGGTTGGTGGTTAAGCGTGTTGATCTTACTGTTTATTTCCAATCTTAACGATTCTATGATTCTCAGTGAGCTTCCTGATCTCCTGATGCTGATCTCACTGTTACTGGGCAGTTACTGTGGTGCCCGTCCTTTCTCTCAGGAGCCTCCAAGTCATTTTTCAGTAGATGCTTCACGTGGGAAGCCGCTGGACCAAACTCATCCTGATGGGTTTTTTAGTTTTGCGTTGAAAACGGAAAGCAAACCAAATGCCCTTGCTTTACAGGTGAAAAACAAAGCGCCTGCAGAAGTTCAGATCACAGCAGAGCAGCTTTTAAGAGAAGCGAAGGAGAGAGAGCTTGAGCTTCTTCCACCACCTCCTCAGCAGAAGATCACAGATGTTGAAGAGCTAAATGACTATAAGCTACGGAAAAGGAAGGTAAAGGGGAAAAAAAAACAAGTTTTACCCTTCTATAAAGTGCTAAAATCCGATATTTTCTAATATAAACAAGATGTTCTTTGTGTTATTACTTGCTCAGTTTTTAGGTTAATAATTCTTAAAAAACCCACACTTTTCATAGAAAATGTGATACTTTCATGCAAAAAGCAAGTTATAAAAGTATGTTGTTTAACAAAACTTGGTAATACACATGATATCAGATCTCTGCATTCAATATGTTTGGGGCATTGCAGAGGTAATTACATGCATGATTTATATGCACTTTCTTATTCACCACTGATATCGTGCCAGTATGACATAACATCAGCAGTCTTTGTTGATGCTGGTAGTTTTTCCATCTCAACTGTTTACAATTAAAAAGGCATAGAACCATACTACTTTTGCAAATGTTATTTCTGTCCTTGTTGTTATGCTTTGTGGGGCACACATTAGAAAAAATTTCTACACTAGATGTGTTTATGGTTTGGTGATTGTCTAGAAAAAAAATCCAAAACATTCTACCTGTGAGATTTCAGATAGATATTTATATTTTCCTTTCTTTAAATAAGAGCTGCTTTGTACAAACTTAACTACAGTTTTCTTCTGCATTTTTCTTCAATAATTTCTGTCGTAGATCAAAAGAAAGTAAAGCAAGTGTATTCTTAATGGTGAACTTGAAATGTTTTCAACTAGAATTACTCAGTTATTTTTCAGATACAGCCAATATCTAAAGAAAGGTTGTTATTGTTGTTCTTAAGGTTTTTTTTTTAATCTCTTGTATGGATGGCAGTAATCTCTTGTATGGATGGCAAGCCACTGCGTGTTACCTTTGTTAAACCATATTTGACTGTGATTTATGTATTGTTAGTATTGATCCTGACAGCCAAATGCAACACTGGAGATACTGTCACCATTGCACTGAACAGTGAAAATTGCCTTGGACATTTGATGCCAGAATATTAAATCCAGGGAATAATCATAAGATTAAAGAAAACCATAGAATGTTGCAAACACGTCAGAGTAAACTCATGCTGGTGCATACTGATATATTCAGGATTGTACAATGATTAGATTCCATCTTTTCAGCTATTGCTATTGAAACAGTTAATCAGGAGACTGGAAAAAAATTGTAAATAAGAAAGTAGTTTTAGTATAGTTGGTTATTATCTGTATGGGAACTGCTGAGCCATGGCCTGAACCTCTGATTGATCACCTGAGGCGAGCTGTGAGTCAGCCAGAGGAGCACAGGTGAAGGCAATTCACCCATGCTGCTGGAAGGGTGGAGCCTGGCTGCACCCCTCCTAGACCTATTGAAGAGCTGGCTGCCAGTGGGGAAGGAGCTCTGCTGGAGATTGGCTCTGCTGGTGTTTTGTGGGTGAGCCCAGGATAGGGGTAAGCCTTCTATTTATTCTCTTTTGTTATCATAGTATGCTTTGCCTGACTCTCTTGGATTTTTTTTGTGATTATGACATCCTGATATTCTTTGATTATACATTATCCCATTAGTATTCCAGGTATCCACTTGCAGAAACTCGAATGTAGTCCTTATCTGTATGGCAGTCAACATTTCTAGCTGCTCTGCTATGCAGTTTTTAGAAAGTGTTGTATTGAGTAGCTATTGTTACTACAGCATGTAACACATAATTCTTCTAATAGCCTGTAAATTGTTTATGTGAAGATTAGTCTGCACCGAGGATGTTTGTACTTACAGAAATAACTTTCTCCTCAGACTTTCGAAGATAACATAAGAAAAAACAGAACTGTTATCAGCAACTGGATAAAGTACGCGCAATGGGAAGAAAGCTTAAAAGAAATACAGAGGTAACTGTGTTCTGGCTGTAGATCTCTTATAAACCTCTTAAGACACAGGCTGACAAACGCTGTCAGTGTTTTGGAGGCACGTTAATAAGCACAGCTTCTCTTTCCAGGGCCCGTTCCATTTACGAGCGTGCTTTAGATGTAGACTACAGAAATGTCACCCTTTGGCTGAAATATGCAGAAATGGAAATGAAGAACCGCCAGGTTAATCATGCCCGAAACATTTGGGATCGAGCTATTACCACCCTCCCCAGGGTGAACCAATTCTGGTATGTTTACAGAGAATGGAGCATTGCTTTTACCCCAGAGAGGATTGGTCATTTTTATATCTCTACATTTGTATATCTCTATCACTAGAAGTGTATTGTATTCTCGTTCTGCAGATCTTTAGGCTGATTCCCAAGAATGTAGAAGCTTAATTTTTGAAAGGTTGTGTAGTTACGGGATGAGAAGGCTGTTGCAGAGAAGGATGTTTGTGTATGTGCATGCTGCCAGTCACAGCAGTATCTACAGGCATTTCTGGAGCATATTCTGGGAAATACATGGTAGAAGTGCCAGTGATGCTCTTATTAAGCACTTGAAAAATCATTGTAATTTGTATTTACTAAGTGCTTGTAAACACTAGATCTTGTTTTCTAAGGTATAAGTACACTTACATGGAAGAGATGCTGGGGAACGTTGCTGGATCACGTCAGGTGTTTGAACGCTGGATGGAATGGCAACCAGAGGAGCAAGCTTGGCATTCCTATATTAACTTTGAGCTGAGATACAAGGAGGTGGATAGGGCACGTACCATATATGAAAGATATATCCTTTTTAGTGCATTGGGACTCCTAGCCAAACTGAGGTGTGAACTCTTCCTTTTGTCCCTACTCTACACCAGCTCCTTTTGACTGTGATGTGCTGGGAGTGAGCCACCATACTGAGAGCCAGCAGTAGGTCTTAAACATGTGTTTAAACAGGTGTCTCCAAATGCAGTTAAATGTACGGATCCTGCTACAACAGGGAGCACTTAGCAGCACCCCTGCCTCTAGATTATTTTGTAGGCATAATTTGTTCCAGTTTTCTCCTTCCTAGCCTTCTGCCTGACTCTTGCCTGACTTCTATTCCTTTTATTAAAATTTGGGTTCACATGTATGGGAACTGCTGAGTTGCCAGCCTGAACCTCTGATTGATCACCTGAGGTGAGCCATGAGTCAGCCAGAGGAGCACAGCTGAAGGCAATTCACCCGTGCTGCCGGAAGGGGGGGAGCCTGGCTCCATCCCTCCTAGACCTATTTAAGAGCTGGCTGCCAGTGGGGAAGGAGCTCTGCTGGAGATTGGCTCTGCTGGTGTTTTGTGGGTGAGCCCAGGATAGGGGGTAAGCTTTCTATTTATTCTCTTTTGTTATCATAGTCTGCTTTGCCTGACTGTCTTGTTTATTTTGTGATTATAACATCCTACTATTCTTTGATTATACATCACAGTACTCAACGTGGTACCTTTGCATGGCAGGAGGTGCTTAATGTCTCCTTCCCAGTTGTGTTACTTGCATGTGTCGTTCTTAGGAGTTGTTTTGTCTGTGCTCACTGGGAAGGATGCGATTTGAGAGATTCAATTCAACTCCTACTGTTTCTTTAACAAAGCTCTACTCGTTATTGTCCATCCTGATGTGAAAAACTGGATCAAGTATGCCCGCTTTGAAGAGAAGCACTGTTATTTTGCTCATGCAAGGAAAGTATACGAGCGGGCAGTGGAGTTCTTTGGAGAGGAGCATATGGATGAGCACTTGTATGTGGCTTTTGCCAAGTTTGAAGAGAACCAGAAAGAAGTAAGGTTTTCTTACATCAGGCTGATACTAACCGCCTCCATAAGATTTCTTCCTCAGTGTCAAACTCAAGGTCCCTTAACATGCACTTCAATACTTGTGTTTTCCAACAGCATTGTGGTCTTATGTAGTCTGAGTTAAGGAATCAATCTTTTGCTTAGCTTACATTTGGCTTTTGGTGACCTTGAGGAAATATGTTCTAAGAAAAATAAGTGCCAGATCTCCCAAGGCTCAGAGTAGTGCCATTCAAGCTCATACGTGTCCTACACGTGACTACATGAGACTGTAGATCAGTTGCATGCATAATACAAAATAAAAGCTCTATTAGCCATAATTTTGCAATTAAGCAATTTAGAGCATTCAGTAAACCCCAAACTACAGACTCATTAAAATACTTTAATTATTCCAAACCTGTAAGTGAGTAAGTGATAGTAAATTTTGGTATTAACAGATTTTTCTTCTTTGTTTCTCTTCAGTGTTACCCTCCAGGGAGATCTGTGTTAGTCCTGTCCTAAAAAGATCATTTGCATTAAGCACTGTAAAAGATCAGTGAGATACTAAAACATACATTATGAGACAGTAGTTGCATTCCAAATACAACTCAAGTAATATTTAATATTTTCAGTTTGAAAGAGTAAGGGTGATCTACAAGTATGCCTTGGATAGAATTCCAAAACAGGATGCCCAGAATCTCTTCAAAAATTACACCATCTTTGAGAAGAAGTTTGGAGACAGAAGGGGTATTGAAGACATCATTGTCAGCAAGAGAAGATTCCAGTATGAAGAGGAAGTGAAGGTACGTTTTACAAATGTTCTCTGGGCTCATCGTGGAAGTGAAGACACTTTAACCCACCTCCCTTCCAAAGCTCTAGCTTAAGCATACTTGAGGCAGTTTTTGCTGGTGTTGCAGTGACTAGTTCTAAAGGGGAAATTCTGAATAAAAACTAAATAAAGGAAAAAGTTTTGTAATTAGCAATTAATTAAGTTTCTTTCCCATTTCTCTACTCCAATCTTTCTGGAAGGCAAATCCACATAATTATGATGCGTGGTTTGACTATTTGAGGTTAGTTGAAAGTGATGCTGATGCAGAGACTGTCCGAGAAGTGTATGAAAGAGCCATTGCTAATGTTCCCCCAATCCAAGAGAAGAGATACTGGAAGAGATACATCTATCTTTGGATTAACTATGCCTTATATGAAGAGCTGGAGGCAAAGGCAAGTAGGAAGAACTCGCTTTTTTTCTTTCTGAAGTGCTTTTCTTACACAAAGTAGCTACAGGTACCTGTAGAGATCTGAGAGCAGCAACAACAATCTGATTTGTTTTATGTCATTAGCCACAGGGTTTGCTATTTCAGCATTTTCCCCCCTATAATACAGTTCAATTTGTGTGAAATAGTCCTTCCCTTGTATGAGGAGAAGAGCATTTGTTTTGCCCCAGTGCATGTAGAAACTGACTGATAAAAGCAAAACCAGCTCTTTCTGGCTCCATCTGAATTTCCTTTTCCAGACTGTTGCCTGAACTTGTGCCAATACTGGTACAAATGATATATAATAAATAGTGTAGGTATTTCTTCTGGTTTTTATCAGTTAGGTATCACAGTATTACAAATACAGCAGCAGTACAAGTAGCATAACAGAACTATTGGTGAAGCTGTTCTGTGAAGCAGTCAAGTTCTTGGTACAGTTACCTTCTGAGGCTTTGTCTGTGGTGTTACCAGTCCTGTCACACAGCTGCATTTGATGTCATAAAGTCATAGTTCATTATAGCTGTTCAGTGTCCTGGAAAAGAAAAGAAACCTTTTTTTGCCCTAACTGACAGCACTGATGGTTTTATTGGCTCATTCTTAATGAGGTTTTTTTTTTTTCTTCAAAAAAGACCATCATTGACCCTCAGAATTTACCATCTTTGAATTGTGCATACACATGCATACATACATAGTTTTAGGCAAACATGATTCTAAACTCCTGTACTTAAAAAAATACTGTTCTCAGGTTTGACAATCGTTGTGCAATTGAAAATGGTGTCATTACTGTAGTGTAATCTGAGTAGTGAATGAAGAACTTGACTTTTTGTTGAATTTTGCCTTTTCTTTCAGGATCCAGAGCGAACCAGGCAAGTTTATCAGGCCTGTATTGAGCTCCTTCCACACAAGAAGGTATGGCTCCTCCAGCAATTCATATAAGGGCTCATACTGTAAACTGTAAGATCCAGATTCCTTAATTTCTCTCTCAAATCACTGGTTCAGAAGCCCCTTAAATTGTCTTTAGTTAAGCGCAGGGAGGGCTGCAAGGCTGAGATGCAGAGGCCTCTCCAAAAAGCTGCTGATGCATTATTGCATAGCTGCTCACAAGCAAGGGAGTTGCTTATCCAAGATTTATGGGGGCTCTCTTCTACTTTCGCAAAGTTGATCTTCTGAAATTGGTTGTATTTTCCCTGTAAGCTGAGGAATTAGAGAACTGCAATTTGCGTAGTCAATGGGAAACAGCAGGCCACGCATCAACGTCAGATTTCCTTGTATAGACATGAAACCAGTGTTTGATCAGCATTTCCAAGTCACCAGGAGTGCTATAAAAAGCTGAAACACTACCTACACAGAGAATAATTTAGTACTGTTTAATAGTAGAGAACATCTTCTCTCTTCTTTCCCTTGTTTGTTTTCCTTCTTAGAAAGGCTGATCCTTTCCTAGCTGTTCTCAGCCTCGTTGCCTGTAGTCTCTATAAAATATTAGTTACTCAATTTTACGGAAGGTTGCTGCCTTTTATAGTAACTTTGTAGTTGATTGCATGGTGCCCACTGAGGAAGGTGCATTTCATAAACTGTTGTGAGGGTGTATATCCCCCATAGCTGATGGAGTCAGCCAATCAGTTGATTGGTAAAATACTTTATTTGCTTGAGAAGATTTCTGTCCTTGCTGTTTTTATTTTGCTTCTATAGGGGAGTAAATTATGTAGATGTATCTTTCTTGATGTAGAGGTTGCTTTGGGTCACAAATTCTCACTTTTCCAACAGAAAAACACTGAAGTCAAACACAGCTAACTGCAATATTGATAATGTGAGTTCATATGTGGATAGTGATATTTTGTAAAGAACACATGCAAAATTATTTACTGAGCTTCCAACCCATGCATCACGTTGTTCTTTTTTCTTTCAGTTTACATTTGCCAAAATATGGCTGCTGTATGCACAGTTTGAAATAAGACAGAAAAATCTTCCACTTGCTAGAAGAGCTTTGGTAAGCTTTGGTTAATTCTGTAATTGATTTCCCTAACTAATATTAACTAGGGAATAGCATTAAAAGGTCTTAAAAATCGTCCTTTGTAAATTGCTGTTTTTAATCCACTTAAATAAAGCTTCCTAGAAATCTGCAGGGACCAGCATTTACTGTCATGTATGATTTAAGAAGCAGTATAGCTTGGTATGATGAATTAGCCGCAGACTGAGATGAATGCAGCTTTCCTGTTTCTGCTGGCAAAAGGTGCATCTAAATACAAGAGTACAAATCAGCTTAGTGCACTTAAAAGCATTCTAATTACTGCAGGTTTGTTTAAATGATACCTGTATTTGCAGTTGCTTTTTAAAAACCTGAATAAATAGGAGTTTTTGATTCTTAGACATTCACACTTAATAACATTTGAGTCCCAGCTACTTGATTGTTGATAGAAGCAATCATGGGGGGCTTTGTGCAGGTGCAGGAGGTTCTGTACAAATTTCCCTGCCATGTCAGAGAATGATGAAATGTGTTTTGGCACCAGAAATTGTTTCCCTGCAGTTCAGATACTCTGAATAAGCTGAGTGACAGCAGCGGACTAAGTTTACCCTCCAACATGCTAGTAAAGCTGTGTTTGTTGAGCTGGACTCCTGCCTTTGCCCAGAAAAAAAGCAAAGCAGAGGGATTAAATGAGAAATCTTAAAATCTCCCTGCAGGAGAAGGCAACCCATCTGTCTTGAAACATGCTGTAGTTCTAGCTTGATTTGATTTCCATTCTAGAAAGGCTACTTTGGTCTCTGTTGAAATAGCTCCTTCAGTTTATTTTAGACTTGTCTTTTGCTGGTCTTTTTTCTATTGTTGTTTAATTTGGCAGTTTTTTGTAGTGTGTTACTTTGAATTATTTTTGAAACTAGATTTTGTAGATGAAGCCATAGTCCTTCTGTGAATTGGACCTAGATTTGGCAGGAAGTTACCTTGCTTTTGTTTGCTCTGAACCACCTCCAGCTTCGTTCCTGAGGAGGGGTATCTAGGCAGTGTGCTGTCATCATGCGGAAGAGGAAAGCTAGGTTACCTTGGTGATCTTAGACATCTCTTCAAATCTAAATGATTCTAGTATTCCCTATTGCAGATGTGCCCAGTCTTAACTATTACTTTGAAAGCTTCCCAAATCAGAAATCATGAATAGCTTTCCCCTGGTTTGGCACTTGTGGCTGAGGACAGGTAGTTTTCTTCAGATGCTGAAGTGTATCAAAGCAGCAGCATTTGTTTTTCATATTCTTCTCTGTCCATCCTTTACTGTAAATCAGCAAGCAGGCAGTGTGGATAATGCTCCAGGAGGCGGTTTCTTTTGACTTTGTTTAACATCATGTTTGGTAACTCCTCAACTGGAAGGCTGGTACAGACTGCTAGTGTGTTTTCTTCATCTTCTGATGCAAGATGAAGTGTGTGTTTGTTGAGCCATGGTGAGTCCCAGCTGATACCTCATGAGAAATTATTGTTATTTAAAAGTAAAACAAGTTAGAAAGTTTTCTGCTTCACAGTTCTTGTTGATGCTTTATGGATGCTTTCCTCATATGCAGACATCGATTGGATTTCATGGTGGTCCAAACTCTACTCAAAATAGCATTTTAGTTCAAATATTGAACAACAAAGTTATTTAGAAGTAGTGTTGGCTTTTGTTTCTTTTGCAAGATCTTTAAGTGGCTTGTGGTTTTCTTGTTTCTTAACAGGGAACATCCATAGGTAAATGTCCGAAAAACAAACTTTTCAAGGGTTATATTGAACTGGAGTTACAGTTGCGAGAATTTGATCGTTGTCGAAAGCTGTATGAGAAATTCCTGGAGTTTGCACCAGAAAACTGCACGTCGTGGATTAAATTTGCTGAACTAGAGACCATTCTTGGTGATATCGATAGAGCCCGTGCCATTTATGAACTGGCTATTAGCCAACCTCGACTGGACATGCCAGAGGTAAGGGGGGAAGGTGTATTTCACATCTTATCGTAATTTTCAGGTATTTGTTACTTTGTTTGACTAATTAAAATGTCAATAATCTAACAGCCCTAACAGATCTGCTCACAACAGTGGCCTAATCTGTCTCATTAATTGAGCATCTGTTCCTTAGCAGGATACGCAGGGCTATAAAACCCATGATAAAATGTGGCAGGAGATGCCCGCTTCCAAGTATAAGCTAAATGGATTATGTGGACAGGATTTCATGTGACTTGGTCTTAATTAATACTTGGGTATCTGAAGTTCATTTTTACAAAGTTCATATTTATCTGCACTCCTCTGTTAAAGAACTTCTTTGGCACAGTGTTGAACACAGAGCTGCTGGAGGCTGTGAACGTATGGAGGGACTTCTGTTTTACAGGTGCTTTGGAAATCCTACATTGACTTTGAAATAGAGCAAGAAGAGTATGAGAAAACAAGAAACCTTTACCGCAGGTTGCTTCAGCGCACGCAACATGTCAAGGTATGGATGGGTACCCAGAACACAGAACAGGGCTTGATTTGGATCCCTGCTGGGTGGAAAGATTTGACTGCTTTGATTGCCTAACTGTTAGGCTCTACTTGCAGACTATGATTCTATGACTTTGTGGAATTGACTGAAAACCAGAGTTCAGTCCCATGTTTTTGACCTTTTAGTAATGCAGGCATTTTTAACTTCTGTGTAACAACAGCTGTGTCATATTTAAGAAAGGAAAGCTTTGTAGAAGCTTTGCAAAGCAGCCCTCTTCTTGCTGAGCAGCTTTGGGATTTAATTTGCTAAAATATTGCAAATACTCATTGTGATTATTGTTCCAGTGTAATTCGATGCTGTGATTTGACTAAGTTCAGACAGGTCTATCATAACCCAAAACAAGCAGTAGAAATTTGTTGAGGTTGCTACAGAAATATTCTTTCCTCTTAAAATGAGGCAAATCTCACATCCTTGAAACAAACGTGAATTTTCTAGGTATTAGCTTATAAAAGCATGCTTTTGGTTGGTTTGTGGTTATTTTTTTTTTTTAGCTGCTTTGTTTTCTTTTATCATTTTATCACTCACCTGTTCAGGGTGGAAGTTTCAGCTTGGTTTTTGATTGTTTCCAACACAGGTATGGATCAGCTTTGCACAGTTTGAGCTATCTGCAGGGAAAGAGGAGAGCTTGTCGAGGTGCCGGCAGATTTACGAAGAGGCTAATAAGGCAATGAGGAACTGTGAGGAGAAAGAGGAGAGAGTCATGCTTCTGGAATCTTGGAAGACCTTTGAAGAGGAGTTTGGAACTGATAGCACTAAAGAGAGGATAGAAAAACTTATGCCTGAAAAAATAAAGAAGAGGAGAAAACTGCAGGCTGAAGATGGGGTAAGAAGAAAAAAATATGCAAGTAATCTTTCTGAAACCTTGGTGGCTCTCCACTGGGGTCTGGAGCTCAAAACTGGCTGTGATGGGTGCTGTAACTGTGTACTGCTATTACTTCTGTAACTGAAGGAAAGTATTAGCAGAAGACACATCCTGCTGAGTTCCTTGCCCTTCGGTGGGGCAGGTGGGCAGTTGATTCAGAATGAAATACCAGTGCTCAAGGTAGTTTTAGACTAAACTTTTATTACTGTGTTGCACCCATTCAGCTTGTTGGTTTTAGCTGCTATGGGTGTCCTGACAAATATTGATTTTAATTTTATCTCATTTCTATGCTTATTAGAAAAACCTGCTAATAGCTAACATTAACATGCAAATTAAACCTGCTTTGTGGTGTTCTTTTTTTCTCCCTGTAGTCTGATGCTGGCTGGGAGGAATATTATGATTATATTTTCCCAGAAGATACTGCCAATCAGCCTAATCTCAAACTACTTGCTATGGCTAAACTCTGGAAGAAACAGCAACAGGAGAGTGAAGCTGCAGAAATGGATCCAGACAAAGACATTGATGAGAGCCAGTCTTAAGGTGTTGCCTTGCCCTGCTCCTTTTCTTGGGTGTTGTATGCTATTTTCAATGGTGAGGAGTAAACATTCTTGAAGGGCTATTTTTGACTTAAGGCACCTTTTGGTTTGAGAAACAGCACCATGTTGGAGGTGATTCTTTTTAATAGACTCTTGATTGCCATCAACTGAAAGGAAATGTCACACAGCCTGGAATCCATACCAGTGGTCTGAGAACTGTGAGAAGTGGATGGCAGCTCTTGTTTTTAGGGCAAGACCATCTGTTGTAAGGCTTCTGGAAAGCTTCGCAGTAGTACTTAGGGATGTTAATATGTCAACACAACAGGTCTACTTTCTTCAATGAGAAAGATGTCCTCAACCATTCCTGATTGATATTTTTCCAGTAATCCTGTAAGATATGTGTTGTTCATGAGGACAGTTGAACAAGTTGCAGTCAACTGGTTTTTGTTTCCAACTTCCAACCAAAGTAACAAACCTCAGAAATCTGGTCAGGATGGACAAGAATAGAAGCTGAATACACTGAAACTAACCCACGAAAGACAGATGTGCAGAGATTGGTACCACACAGTTTGTCTATATTTTACTATTTGAATATATTGGCACCATATTTTATAGCAAACAATCTATTGGGGAATAAAGCAGAAGTGTAAACAGGCTTCTTGTTTTGCTTTTTGTACTTCATAGGGCAAAAAACATCGAGGGGAAGTTTTCTCATTCAGATTTTCTCATTCATACGTTCTTTATTTTTCCTCTTTTTTTCCCATTGTAACAAAAAAAATGCTCTTGTTCCACTGCAGCTGCTGCCAGGAGAGAGCCAGAAAAGTCATGCAGGACCGCATGGCTCTGGGTGGTGGTCAGGAGCACAAGGGAGGGGAAAGAGCGAGCATATTTACCTGCAGGCTGACCATTCTGGTGAGGAATGGAAGAGGAAGCAGCTGGTATGGCTGGGGTTAAGTGGAGAAGCAGTGGGGTGAATGCATCGAGCAAGGGAAGGCATGGTGGGAATAAGAAACCTCCAAATGAAGGCAGAAGAGTGCATTTGCTGGGTGTATGCCCACAATCATGGGAGCACCAAGAGAATGGAGTTGTGGGAGAGCTCTTTCAGTTCTCTTGGGTCGTTCGTTGGACTGGGTGCCTGTCTGAACTGCCTGCAGGGCAAGTTCTATCTGTGCAATCCTCTCCTTAATCTGGTTTCCAGGCCTTCTATCCCTGTTTTGTCCCATGTTTATTGGTCTTACTACTTAGCTGGCTGACACAGAACAAAAAAGTTGTTTGTTGAGGAGTTTTGTCCTTGGGTTATTTGTTAATCTTTACTCTTCTGAATTAAAAATCAAATTTGTGTTTTCTGAGCAGCCGTATAAGTTTATGCATTCTCTCTTAAAGCCTGATTATTTTATGTGAATTTTGTTGTTTTATTTGTTTCCCTTGATAGCTGCAGTGCAACTGATGGTGTGATGCTGAAGTCTGCTGTATGTTTGCACCAGTTTTTCCTTAGCTTTCTAAAAGCTTGCCTGGTAACAGCGCTGATTGTTCGTGACGGCTGATCAAATCATGTTGACGTACAAGATAAAAATCTGATTTATCTGAATTTTAGCTTAATTTGTATGGCTTCCTATGCCTTCTGGGCTTAAATTTTGCAAGCATTTTGGTTTTTAATTCTTTCACTCAGAGACAGCTGCTGTGGTCCTGCCACATCCCAGCAGCCAAGTGCAGCCCTTGCCTTCCTGGGGCTGGCTGGGCGTGCTGGGCACCAGGTGGCAGCAGAGATGCTTTGTCTGCAGTCTTCTGTTTGTGTGCAAGTTTCAGTCTTTGTTCTTGCAGAGGCTGGAAAGTATTGGGAATTCTGTATGTTCTGAGGCTTTTGGATGGCTCAGATCACTTGAATCGTGCTTGAGGTCTAATGAGAACAGCTAAAAAAACAGCTTTTCTGCAGCAGTTTTTCCTTAAAATTGTGAATTGCTGCTTTTGAAAGAGAATGCTGGCAGAAAAAATGTGTATACATCAAAAGAGAGCAGGGGGGAGAGGATCCATAGAGCAACTCCTAGAGCGCTTCGGGCTTTACGATGCATGTGCAGGAATAATAGGTGAAGTCTGAAATGCCAACCACCTGGATAAGCTCCTGTTGTGCAGATCTTACCTCAGGCTTTTTCTTTACTTTTTCTTTACTAGTCTTGAGCTGACTTAGCTGAAAGCTGGAGTGGCTTTTGCTTTCAGCTTAAAGTCAGGTGTTGAATGAAGAACACTGGACCAAAACAGTAGCAAAATGATCCTTGTGCTAGTGTAGAGAGATCAGGGGATATTTCTAGTTAGAAAGGCTCACATTTGATTTCCCTGTTCTGCTCTCCCCTGCTGTGACTTCCCAGAGGTACGCTGTGGACTTGGGCAGAGAAGCAAGTGAGAGGTGGAAGTGGCATCTTCAAACCCTTCCATTTCTCCATCTCCTCACCTTATGCCTTCCAGCACTATTCCACCTTAACCTGCCCTCATTCCAAGTCTTTGGGATCTGATTTTACCTGTCCTAGCCACGGAAGAGCTGTAAGGAGCTGTGTGAGGAGTTGTGCCAGACATTTGCAGTGATTGCAGCGATGGGACCATGTGGGTGAGTGGACTTCCAGACAGCCACTTCCTTCCTCTCCCTGCTCATCCATGTTGCAAGCTTATCTTCCAAAAAGCCAACAGGAGGTTTTTATTCCATAACAAGCTAGACACAGTGTATCTTATAACATAAGAGCAGCTAAACACTGCCATTCTCAAAGCGTGTGTTTGTTTGACACTGCGTGTAAACACAGGGATGATTGGGTACATCTCTGAACTTCTTGCAGGCTTTGTTAGTAATTGTTCTGTGATGTTCTTCCCTTCATGTAAACTCCATGTCTGGCTGAAAGACTTGGTTATAACAGTCTGTGACACCTCTCCTGACTTAATTACTTCTGAGGTGATGGAGGAATGTAAAGCTGGCAAGGCTGAATGCTGCTGGTGCTGCAGCTCTGCCTGTCCTTGGCCACAGGGAACTCTGCCTTTGGGTCTCGTTCTACTCAGCCTCTGGGGAGAAACAGTGTTCACTGACATCTTTCTTGGAGATCAGGTACAGAAATCTTTCTTTTATCTATATGGATTGTCTTGTGAGTGCTTCCTGTTGTCCTGAGCTTCCTGACTTCTCCTACGTCTCTGAGACCTGAAGAAACATAAGTGCACTGCTCAACATTTTACCCACACTTGGCATTAGGATTCCAGCTGTTGCCTCTGGCCCTCTTTCCCTACTTGAGGATCACAGAATCATAGAATGGCCTGGGTTCAAAAGGACCACAATACTCATCTAGTTCCAACCCCCTGCTATGTGCAGGGTCACTGACCACCAGGCCAGGCTGCCCAGAGCCACATCCAGCCTGGTGTTGGGTGCCTGCAGCAATGAGGCATCCACAGCCTCCTTGGCTGTGCAGCCATCCTGTAAAGGATGTCTCTGTCCCTCAGCAGGCTCCTGTGTCCTGTGCTGCACTTGGAAAATGAGGACAGAGCTGCTGTAACACATGTCAGAAAGTGATGGTGAACTAAATTACAGCACGCATCAAGAAATGAAGGCTCTGATAGAGGCTATAATGTCATCTGCCTTCTCCCTGAAGAATGCTGTCGTGCTTCATTTTTCGTACAGGAGCATCTGTGTCCTGTAGTGCTCTTGGGCAATGACCCCAGTGTGGAGATGCTTCCCCCATATGTATTAAAACTGTCCCCTTTCCACAGCAAGACACAGCTGCTTCCGTGGGCTGTTGATGATGTTTGAGTTTAACAGAGAGGAAACACATCAGCAGGTGCCTGTCCCTATTCTTCCCCACCACGTTCTCCATGACAGTGCCATTCTGGCTTGGTGGTTTGTCTCAGGGAGCTGATGCCCACCATGTCAGAGATATTTTTGAAAGATCAGGAAATCAAAGCTGTGAAATGCTCATAGTCCATGTTGAGAAAGAATCCACAAACTTCTACGATCACAAAGACCAGCCCTGCACAGGAGCTGCAGAAAGAGCGACTGCCTCATGAAGCCGAGCCTGTGATACCCCCAGTGCTACTGAAGAGTCTGGTTCTGTGTTCATTCCATGAATGCTGCGATGCTGGTGGAGCCCAGTTTTGGATATGTCATCAATTAAGAAGGTTGGAGAAATGTTATTAAAACATTAGCCATACCCCTGTGTACCTTTTAAATTTTTCAAAATGGCTTTTGTGTTGCTGTTGGGCCACTTGACTCCATGTACATCAAGGACAATTTTAAAATGCATTCTTTGTGATCGCTTTCTGACTTCAGCTTTTCTTTTTGCAAGGGTGCAGTTTGGTGATACTGAGTCTTCAAAAAGCCTGTCCTCAGAAAAAGAATTGCCTAGCTGCAAATGATGTTGAAGAACTGCCCCTAGCCCAATTACAGTTTCAGTAAGTGGTACTTCACAGTTGGGTTCTGGACACTAAGTAGGAATAAATTACTGCTGGGCAGTCGGAACAGATGCATAAGTGATTTTTTTATGGGGCTATGACACATCTCTAAAAAGCAATTAGGTTGCAGAGGGAAGCTTTGCATTCAAATTCTGGGACTTTTATGGTAAAACTGGCTGTTGTTTTTCCCATGCCAGATTATACACGGCTATAAGCCACATTGGACAGCACGCTGCACAAGGTGACTTTGTAGGAATGACTTCACAGAGGTCCATGTTCCTTTGAAAAGCCTTTCAAACAGCGCATCTTCTAAAACTAATGCAGCCAAGGGTCCTGGATTGGCCAACCATCTTAGTGCTGAAGCAAAGCTCAAGGGAGTCACAGAAGAGGATCCTGGCTTGCAGGACAGGGCTGTTTGAGGTAAGGGACACACTGGGTAGCACGGGGTGGCCTGTGGAGGTGGAGGAGGTCGTGTTTAACAGCCACTGAGTTCGTGACAGCTGCAGAGGATCTTTCACGAGCACCAGCCAGCCGTTGGTTTGATGATGCTGTAGTTCTAATGATAAATGACACCTGCTCAGAGCGTGGAGAACGACTTCGCTCATTGCAAAGTGCATATCCAGAAAAAGCCGGGAGGGCTTTGGGGATACACATATAAAAAATACCTATAGCTGTATTATATAAACACGTAGCTGATGCTAACATGCTATATGTCATTATATAATTAATACATATATGTGAAAGAACAGAATGTCCAGCCTAGTTGGAACATACATATTGGAAAATTAACTACAGATCTGGAGATGTAATGTATTATTTATAGCTGCCTTGCTGAGCCAGCTGCCAGCCATTTCCTTACCACTGTCATGGCCACTGTAGCATCTGAGCTCTTCACAAGTATTTAAAAATAGAAATAATCTTGTTCTTCCTCCTTTCTCTCCTCATATATAGGAAGGATAATTTGATTATTCTATTAGGATTTTGTTTTATTTCTTGCTTTATGGGCTTGCTGTCTTTCCTTGTTTGGAAGGCACTTGATGGGATCATTTCAAGCAAAGAATTAAGTTTTGCCTGAGCTGGAAACTCCTTGGTGGAGGCCATATCCTCTCCAAGTAGGTTCTCCTACACAGGTTCATAGAATTATCAAGGGTAGAAAAGACCACCAAGATCACCAAGTCCAACCCTGAACCCATCCCCACTTGTGCCCACGTGGAGAGATGCAATTTGTCGCACTTGATAGAGCATGAGGTAATGGCCTCACGTTGTGCCAGGGGAGGTTCAGGCTGGCTGTTAGGAACAATTCCTTCTCCCAAAGAGCAGTGAGGCAGTGGCACAGCTGCCCAGGGACCAGTGGGGTCACCTGGGGGAGTCCCAGAGCCACGGGGATGTGGCACTGAAGGATGTGGGCACTGTAAGGCTGTGTTGATGGTTGGGCTCGATGATCTTTGTGGTCTTTCCTACCTAAACAATGTTATGATTCCGTACATCGAGGATTATTGCTGAGAAAAAGCATTAATGGTGGTAATGTTGCACAGCCCAGCTGTGAGTGAGTTGTTCTTTAAGAAGTCACCTCGGGTACCTTTGCAGCCCACATCTGCACTGTGTGCAGCACACGGAGCTGCTGCAGACGTGAGTCACCTCGAGCAGCATCGCAAGCTGCTCTAACGCTGGGCTGAGCAGGATCTCAAGCTGCAGCGGGGGGCCTGGGGAGGGACTGAATGACCTATATAGGACACTGTTTCCATGGTAACTTCAGTCCATGTGAAATGCTGGTTTGGGTGGCACAGCAGCTTCCAGCTGGAATTTAAGAGGCTCGCAGCCCGCTCAGGGTGGGGGTCTTCTCCCTGTCCTCCCATCTCTGCTGACTGGAGAAACGATATGACAGATGAACGTCGGATGCAAAGCCGTGCTTAATAATTTGGGGTTGTATTCAGCAGCTTCTTGACCCCCTGGCTGCGTTCAGACCAGTCCCATGCTGCTCTGCTGCCATGCCTTGCAGGGTTACAGCTCCTGGTTGCATGAGCAAGGTGTTCTTCTCACACGAGTCTCAAGTGTTCTCTGCTCAGCTGTTTGATTTTGGTAGCCTCTGTCTCTGGGATTTGTGTTCTGGAATAGGTGTTACAATATTTTAGAGTGCTTGTTTTATGTCTGTTTACTTCATCTCTGAAGAACTGCAGGACATAGTTTAAGATATGAAAGCAAAGCACCCTACTGGCTCTTACCTGACCTGCTAAGATTTATCACCAGGCTGTGGAAAAGAAACATTCCTGCAAGATGTCTCTGGCAGTGAGAAGAGGGGAGATGCTCCATGAGTGTGCAATCCCCTTTGTCCTTCACATTTAGCTGAACGTGGCAGGGGCTATGGGTGTTTGGGGTATGAAATGTCTTTAAACGCTTCAAAAACCAAGTTATTGAGTAGAAGGAATGCCTAGCAGCAAATTCATATGGGGGAAGGGCAATTGGCTCTTCGCTTGCTTGGCAGAGAAGCCGAAGGCGAGGGGGACTTTGGGAATTACACTGGTTTTATTCTGTAGCAACTATTTACAGAGAGTCCCACACGTGGAACTGCTCATTTCAGAGAGACTAAGAACTATGGCTGCTGCTGGAACATGCTCCCCTGTGGCATATGCTGACACTGGTGAGGCTGTGCCTCAAGTGCTGTGCTCAGTGCTGGGACCCTCACTACCAAAAAGACACTGATGGCCTGGAGCGTGTCCAGAGATGGTGAGGATGGGTTGGTGTTTGGGCTGTGGATGATCTTAATGCTCTTTTCCAACCTTAGTGATTCTATGGTTCTGTATCAGCACCTGAAAGCCAGGGAATTGCTAACATTTCAGCCTGCTTTTTATTTCCTGGCTCTTAATTCTGCAAGTTATCTTTCCTGAAATTGCCTTTTACCCATTTTCATTAGGAGATGGTTCTTTGAGGGATTTATAGTATTTGTGCTTTCGTTCCACTTGTGTAGATACAATCAGTCAATAAAACACAGCTCTTGAAGGAAGATAAATGTCTGTATATACTCGTAGGCTGTGTTTTATTAATGGTGACTGAATCTACTCCTGCTAGAGCTCAAAAGCAGGATGAAGCTGAGGACAGCATACAGAAAATACTCTTCCTCAAGCCCCAGCTGTGCATTGCATGAGTGGAAAGGCGAGGGGCTGCTCACCAGAGGGCTTGCTTCCTTCAGAGCAGTGTTTGGTGAAGAGGAGGAGGCAGCCAGCAAGGCATGCATCCCCACTGAGGCAACGAGCGCTTAGAGCACGCACAGCCCCAGGCAATGCCCTGCAGGCAGCTGTGGCCACAACCAGACAAGGCAATGAGCAGCTATGCCTACTGATACTGCCTTTTTTTTGTAATTCTCTATGCTCAAATCCCACCAAAGGACTGGGAACTGTAACTGCAGCTTTGAGCAAAAATTGCTAAGTCCCTCCATGGAAAAAAATGAAAACAGAAGTTTGAAAAATAATGGAAATTGTCCTTATTATCAGAATTGCCTTCAAACCTTCCGAAGGGTAATTGGTAAAGTTATAAATAAAGAATTGATGCTTATCAGCATGCAGGCTAACCTTGCTAACAAGGAGCATATGACTGAAGCATCTGAGGTTCAAACGCATTGAAATTAAGGCTGCATAAATCAACAGTCTGTAAACAGTGTGTGGCTAGAAGTTCTGTTGCCTTAAATAGACAAGGTATTTTGTTTGGAAGTTGGTTTTCCTATACCTCCAAATTCCATTCTGTAACTTTTTCTTATGTCCTACCCCTCTGAAAGCGTGGCATCCATCACAAGTGCTCCTGTTTTCTGTACCCTCGCAGCCTTAGCATGGGATGTCTTCAGCCTGATCTTTCTCTTGCTTGAATTCCCTGTCTCCTGTGAGCACCTGACTGTGCTTCAGTCTCTTCCTTTCCTCTGTAAGCTTTGTTCTTCCTAGGGCTTGAAGAACATGTTCAAGGCAGTGTTCTGTGTCCCAGGTTTGACATGGCTTGGTGGGGATGGGTTGATGGTAGTCTTTCCCAGCCTCACTGATTGTGTGGTTCTACACCAGACTCCTGCTGGAGGCCACCCCTGGCGCCTTGTGAGCCAGGAGGAAGAATGTCCCCATTGGAGCTGTCTGGGTGTCTTCCAGACCAACCTCACATGGGAATAGCGATAGGGAAGGCTATAACTGGTGATCTGATCCTTACAGTTCCTCAGTGATGTGTCATAACTGCAACATCCAAATAACCAGAATGGAGGGGTTTTTTTGGTAACCACTGTGCTGCGTAGCACAGTGCATCACTTCCCACATTAATCCAGGAAATCTTTCTTTATGCAATAAAATCTATAGAGGTAGAATATCCCAAAGATTTGTGAAACCTTAGGAAACAGCAATGTCAACTATTTCAGCCTTACTTAATTAAGTTATTTGAAAGTGAAACTGTGTTTTTTAGTAAGTGAATGGGATAATTAAAAAAAAAAAACAAAAAACAAAGACCAGGGAACATTTATCTGAGCTGCCCAAGTGTCTTTTTGGTAATTCTGTTGCACAAAGTTTTTCCTGAGAGGCAAAACAAAGCCACGGATTGCAAATTGCTGAAGAGATGGAAGAATCTAAAGGCACAGAATGATGAGGGGTCAGCACAGAGGTGCTCCAATTCCATTTGCAGTTGATGACAGTGATTATACTCCTTTAGGGGGATAATAGGGGCTTAGCAGCAGGGCTGTAGGATTCATCCTGACAATGTTTTTTTTCTTTTTGCAGGAAACAAAAATGGGTCTCTTTGTGGGGATGTGAGCAAATTTGCTGAATGTGAAACATCTGTGTGGACAAATTCAATGGAACACGTGTTACAGCCTTTCAGAGCGTGGGTAGGTCAAGTATTTCTCTTCACTCTTGGTTGTGATACAGAAACCAGAATGACTTTTGTTAACAGAGCAGTGGCAATCATTGCTATCATTTCCAGCCCTAAGCTGAAAGAAAATTTTTAGATACTCCTCTTTTTTGAAGCTGGGTGTATTCATTTCAATAACATTGGTAAATACGCAGGTTTTCATGGGCAGAGAAAGGGCCTACAGATGTTGTCCTAACTGTTGTGTCTCTAGTGATGCAACATCTAGCAAAATAGAATGAAGAAACTTTTGCAACCGCTGGTCTTGGAAAGCAGCATTCTGCTGTGGAAACAAGAATGAGTCTTGCTGGGAGCTCTGCCTGAGAATATGGGCTTTGGGGGGAGATCTGTTGTAGAGATAATGCTTGGTCTAATCTCTGGTCTGTGAATGTGTGCTGCTGACACCACAAAAGAGCAGAGTAAGAAATGGTGAAACTGGGAGTTACAGGGGTGGGAGCTCAAGGTATCAGGCTGCCCTGATCTCTTAGTGAAGCCTGATATCAACATTGCTGAGATAGTGTCTCAGTACTTGTGTCAGGGCACTTCTCGTTTCTCCTCTTGAGAGTAAACCTGAGGAGGTGGAATTTGTTGGTTGGAGAAGCAACCAGACAAAAAATAGAGATGAGATTTAGGAAGCTGCTTGGGGAAGTGCCCAGGTGACAACTGAAGAAAAGAAAAAAGAAAAAGAAAAAAAAAAGCACATCTGAAAGCATTATGGATAGTTATGGAATTCAAATTGGAAATGTTCTGTGCATTTTAAATACTTCTGCTAGGGGAAGGAGTATAGAAGCTTTAATGTTTAATGCGTGCACAGTAATAGAAAGCTGAACTGATCTCCATGGGCCCATTTGTTCCATCACTGTTCAAAAAGAAATGAATTGAATTCTATTTTAGACCATATTTTGGATCTGGATGTGGTGATGGGAGAGACGAGAAGAATGAAAGCAACGAATATATCTGCCCTGGGATGTCCTCATCTGTCCTGGAAGGCACTGTGCACATGCTTGGTACAATGCAAGAAGCAGGTGAGAACTCAGTGCCCCTTGGGAGGGACTGTGCTACAGTGAGAGAGCATCTTCTCGAGACAGAGATGCAACTGCGTGCTGAGGCAGTGGCACAGGCTGCCCAGAGAGGTGGAGGTGCCCCATCCCTGTACACAGCCAAGGTCAGGCTGGATGGGGCACTGAGCACTGCTGGAGCTGTGGGTGTCCCTGTTCCATGCAGAGGGTTGGGCTGGATGGCCTTTAGGGATCCCTTCCAACTCATGCAATTGTAGGATTCTACAATAACTAATTTGCATTGGAAATGGTAGTTGGATTTTGATTATAGAATTTAATGAATTCTAGATACCTATCATTTATATGTTAAAGACTTCTTGTAACTCAGCAACCAAGAGTGATTTCTCTCCAAAATATGACTAAAACCCAGATCTAGTATTTTAACTTCTCTATTGCTTCACTTAAAGCCTCTTCATACAATGTCTCTGATGGCGTTTCAGGTTCCCAGTGATGCAGCTTGTACTTTCATGTTAAAGCAGTCTGGGAGCTGTCTTGCAGCAGTGTGATTATTTGCACAGTAGAGCTGTTCCCTGCCCACTGCTGGAGCTGGCAGGCACTGGGATGCTCTCAGTGTAGGGCACTGTCCTCCTCCTCTTAATAAGGAGCACTATGTATGTATTCTATGCTTATTCTAGTCATAGATTTGGCCTGTGGCATCCACCAGCTTGTCTTGTACATCCGATGGCCCACAGCTTTCTGTAGACCTCCTGCAGGTCTCTCACTTCTGATTTTACAGCTAAGAAACTGACTGAGTGCAATCTCACCAGGCTGCTAATGCAGACATTAAATGCCATGCTCTCCATCCCATTAGCAGTCCCCAAAGCACCACATTTGCTGCAGCTCCTCACTCTGTGATCTTGGCAATTACTCTTTTCTGCTCCTTACAACCGAAGCTTCTTTCATCTCCTCTGCTGGGGTTTGGTCTTTTGACCCTCTGCAAATTTTCACGAGGAAAGATTTGCCTTGCTTCGTCTGGTTCTGCTCAGGAAGTGAAGCTGCAAGCTGTGCCACATGCTGCCTGCTGACGCTCCCCCTAACCCTCCCTCACCCTATCTCTCTTCCCTCTTCCTGAGGGCTGGTTCTATACCCAATTTATACCTGCCAACAAACTTACTGCCTTCCAACCATAGACATGCAGAGTAGATTTGAACCAATGTAACTTCCTTCCCAGCGACCCCCTCTGCTGCATAGGAGGGCATTGCGTTGTGCGTCTCTCTGGGTTACTTTGCTGTGAGTTGTTGGGAGCCTGGCTTCCCCCCACCCACCTAACAGTTGCTTTGGGAACTTCAGTTGCTTTAAAACTTGCAGAACAAATTCAAGTTCCCTTGTTTGACAACGCAGGCAGTAAACTAAAACTGTGAGAAGAGCGTGAAGAAATATCTGTGGAGTTCTCAAGAGAGTGTACGTTGATTTACACGAGTACTTGAAAAGAAGAGGAAATTTCAGACAGCTCCGAATATTTTCGAGCATCAGCCTCTGTGCCAGTCTTTCTAGCTAGAAAAAGCATCTTCCTGAAGATAAGCAAATCACTGTTTTACACACGCTTGCTTGTTCAGTTTTTAATCTTTCTCTTCCAGTTATGTAAACAGAACGAGGACAATATTAACCGTGTGCCACTGCTAAGCTGATCCACTTGCTCCAAGTTATCAGACACAAAGCACTGCAGGGCTGGTTTGTAAATTGGGTTGGATATATGTATTTTTTTTTTTTTACATCTGTGTTATTCTGAGCTCTTATGTAAACACTTGGAATGCAATTTCTATATATACTGGGCTTGTTATGCAACTGCTCTGTGCAGTGATGCCAAAGGGATTTAATTCTCTTATCGTTGGCTTTTAGAAGAAGTGATCAAGCGTTCTTTCTGTGGAAAGCACAGAGAATGATCGAGGGAAAAACAATAATAAGAATGGCAGAAAACAAGGGCAACTACAAATTTTAAAAGGAGGAAAAAATGTTCCTAATTTACAGAACTACTTATGGTGCCTTTTACTGAATGCACGATTCCTGCTTCAGTACAACTCAACTACGTTTGTTCTTTATGGAAATTTCATTTTCATTGAATGGTTCAATATACATCTGTTTCACAACCCATGCTGAATACTTTATGTATTATTGATGAAGCATGCTTATTTATAGCAGATGTTTAGCAGGATGTCAATGGAAAGGATTGCTGGAAATGTGTTCCATCAGAGCTGGAGGCTGGCGCGCTCCAAAGCGACGACGCTCAGCACATCCCGAGAGCAGTTGTGTGAATATGCTGGAATTGCTGAAGTGATGGATAAATGGCAGCTCTCCACAAGAGCTGCTGCTCTCCTTGAAAACATCTTGAAAATCATGAAGTTGCTTTGCACAAACGCCAATTTTCTGTGTGGATTAGAATGGAATTAATTACTCAGATAACATATTATGTATTAAAAACCCCACCCAAGAAAAACTGAGGTTGCAAAATCAAACGTTTGGACTTTGAAGCTGCTATGCTAGAGTTTATCTAAATGAGATTTTCATAGAATCGCAGAATGCCTTGGGTTGGAAGCCCCTCCATCCCCAACCCCTGCCATGGGCCGGATGCCCCCCACCATCTCAGGCTGCCCAGGGCCCATCCAACCTGGCCTTGGCTCCTCCAGGGATGGGGCACCACAGCTCTCTGAATTAGAAGCACTCTGTGATTTAATGCTGTGTCCTTACCGTTTAATTAAGCAGCTGACTGAACTGGTGATGCCGAGCACTTGTGCTGCATTTTATGCTTCAGCTGTAAAATGGTAGGAACGTTTAAAAAAAAAAATAAAAAAATCAACAACAAAAAATCCAACTCTGTTGAATTTCCTTTTATGTTAATATCTCCCACTGAAATAATTCTTAAAATAGCAGCGTTTTTCTTTGGAAACATGCAGGGTTTAGTGATGAGCAAGTCCAGAAACTTCCTGATGAAAGATGAGTTGGCAAATTAAGAGTAGCTAGCAATGGAAGGGCATGATAGAGATGGGTGATCTTTCAGCAGCATCATTATTTGCTTTTCAGGTGGATTGTGCCACTTGTGGCATGGATTATGTGGGGATTGCTTGCTTTTCCCAGAGAACGGCCATAGGACGAGAGGGGATGGCCTCACGTTGTGCCAGGGGAGGTTCGGGTTGGCTGCTAGGAACAATTCCTTCTCCAGAAGTGATTCTGCACTGACACAGCTGCCCAGGGAGCGGTGGGGTCACCTGGAGGAGTCCCAGAGCCGTGGGATGTGGCACTGAGGGACATGGGCAGTGGGGATGGATTGAGGTTGGAATGGGTGATCCGACTGGTCTTTTCTAACCTTAATGATTCCATGATTCTATGACCCTTCTGTTCTGCACAGCAATGAAGTCTGCATTTGCCATGGGAAACTCAGGATGAGTAAGAGTTTGCTTTAGGGAACAAGCTCCTTGTTTTCACCACCTCGTTTTCACTTCTGTTTGCAGGGAAAAAGCTTCTTACTTCTTGTGTAAATGCTATGAAATTTCCTCACATTAATGTCTCATTGTGGATTTCCTTGATGACAGTTTTTTGAAGTTCCAGTGAAGTACACATGCATTCCTCGTTCTTTCTGTGATAGGTATTTCTAAGTAAACATCACTTTGTTTCAGCCTCTTCAAGGCACAATTTTCTACTGTGGTGTTTCATTTTCCACTTAAAAGCTACCATTGCAGAAAGGAGTTTAAGATGTTAGGAAGAAATTCTTCACTCAGAAGGCAGTGAGGCCCTGGCAGTGCTGCCCAGAGCTGTGGTGCCCCATCCCTGGAGGTGCCCAAGGCCAGGTTGGATGGGTCCTGGGCAGCCTGAGCTGGTGGGGGGCAGCCAGCCCATGGCAGGGGTTAGGGATGGAAGGGCTGTAAGTTCCATTCTAACTCAAGGCGTTCTGTGATTCTGTAGTATGATTTCAGTAGTGTTTCACGAGTTGCATTTGGAAAGGCTTGGCACCGCCCAAGCGAAATGGAAGAAGGTCTGTTAAGATGTTAGGTCCCTCTCCCTTCCTGTGTCTTTCTCCTTTGTTTCAGTCCCCTGCATAAAACAATCTGTTCTAATTACAACAGCAGTTTTGTATGATTAGAAGTGAAGGGACCTCCACTCCGCCAACGCGACCTCTGTGCAGCAGCCCTGCCTGCCGGGTGGTGACAGCTGGGACAGCCTCGCTCTCTGCCAGGTCAGGTTTGGACAAGAAAGTGTTTTTCCTCAGGCTTTGCTGTATTTTTAATCTTGCATTTTTGCATGGATTCAAAATTCGGTGAGTGAAACAATCACAGCTGGTTTGTACAGAAAGACTTCAACTTGTTTGAAGTGGGTGGTAAGGATGCTGAGGCTGAACCAGCCTTTCTGTGCTTGAAAATACATTCTCAGCAGAGGAATTTTTGTGGCATTTCTTCCCCTGTAGCATGAAAGCAGGATTGGATTCAGTGTCTGATGAATCAAAGCAAAATGGTGTTGAGGAGCAATCCTGAAACACTGTTGGAAAAAAAAAATAACAAAAAAACTTCCAGCATGACTTGTATTGTTCTCAAGTTCTTTTTTCACTGTCACAGTGAAATCCACGTTCCTCTCTCTGAAAGGATTGTGGGAACAGCAAACCATGCTGTTTCTACCCAAAGCTGTGTGGATTTTTGTCTGTGACTTTGCTTTGGAGTCCTGTAAGAGCAACAGCACAGAAAGCAGAGACTTGTGGCTATTCATCACAGAGATGATCTGACAGCTGCTGTATCTCTGCACAGCTTTGCACTGCTGTTGAGAGGAATGCCATCACACCACATCACCCAGCTGATGTTTCTCTTTTTCCATTAGGAATGTGCCTTATCTAAGTGCCTTCATATCAAGCCAGGTTGGGGTTTTTCTTCTTTGGTTGGTTGGTTTTTCTGGTTTGAGTTTATAGCTGTGCAGGAAGAAGTCGGCCTGTTTTGTTTTGCGTCATGCTTTTGGAGTCCCACATAGGATCTTTGG